GACGCTAACGTCTCTCCCCCCCCCCCCTTTTAATTTGCCTGTTCTCCAAGGCGATAAGACGTTCAGTGCTTGGGCTCTCAATTTTATACTCTGAGAGGGAGGCTTTTGCGTCAAGGACATTTCCTAAGGCTTGGGATGATATCTACTTGGAAACCATGCAGTTAATTAACATTCCATAAAGCCACCAGCTTGGAAGCCATCAGCTTGAATGCCACAAACTCTTATTTGCCACCAGCAGCAAGAAGACAGCACCACTGGGGCCTGTGGACGACTCTGTTCGGACAGCTCAGTAACAGCCCGTGTTTCGGTGGGAGAATTCCACATCCAGGGAGCCACCTCGAGAAGCCGGACAGTGCCTATCATTTGTGGTGAACTGTACATCAATGATCTATCAGACATAAGTAAGACACTTTATTCCAAGTACAGTTCCTGAGATACTGAGGAGCCAACCAGCCTAGTGACTTTGTTCCAGACGTCCCAGTTGGTGTGATGCAAGTGTTGCTGTGGACCAGACCTAGAGACATATAAGTCACTATTTACTCAGTGCCTAGTTCCTGGATTTATTATTCTCACATGTGCCATGATGTCAATGGCTGCTCTCTAGGACTTTGAGTGTCAGTCATATCTAATATTTCTGTGGTTTCTTAATGTCATTGATTCCATTGAATTCCTTTTTTCTTGATTCATAATGTATATGTTGAACTTATTACATGACTTTGGAATTTTTCAGTATTGAATTTAGTGTCCATCATTCCATGTTCTTAGCTGTCTGGAGTGTGTTTTAAAATATTAGATCTTATTCTGTGTTAACATGACTATGATAGTAGACTATCTAGTCTGGGAGCTATTTTCTTGTAGAAGTGGGGATGTCCGGCCAAGTTGCGCCTAGGAGTATATATTCTGTAGTGCCATAACTTGTGTAGCCCCACTCCTGAAATAGGTTGAATGTGTATAGTGGCCGCGGGATTCTGCCTAGATCATTAGGAGCCAACATTCCAACATTAATACTATTTCAGAGTGCTGTTGGTTCATTAGGAGAAATCCTTAACTAGGCACGTGACACGAGCAGTATGTGACACTGCCTTCATCCGTTTTATTGTATCCTTGTAGATGAAATGGTGCAGATGCCGACTATAAGGCTTTGCAGTATCCTACACAATAAGCTGGGAAGTCGAATCTGGTCAAATTATGTCTGAAGGACAAAAGAAAAGCAAAGACTTAAGTTTCACTTGTTAGTGCGGTCTCGAGACAGAATTTAGGGCCCTGGAGCTAGTTTAGATGCCATGAACTGTCAGGTTAGGATGTTTACTTTTGCCCTCAACAAAACAGAACAAAAAAGTTGTTCACCACATTTCAAAGACTCTGATCTGTTTTCTGCATCAGCGCACAGAGTTCTAACCACTTGACCAGCCACTCTCGCAACATAAACAGTTTTGTAAGTTCTAAAAATTCTGCAGGTTTCAATTTAAATATTTTATTTGTATTCTTCTTTTGTCAAAATTTACTTGTGCCGCTAGGCGTCGCAGTCTATCAGATGATCGGCAACCGAGCCAGGGCGCGCTCAGTCGCTTCATATGCCGTGATGTTATGAAGTCTCAAGTTGTCCGTGACTCCTTCAATCCATCTTCTTCTTGGTCTTCCCCTGCCTCTTGTTGTTTCGATTTTCATGTTGTATGCTCTTGATGCTGGCATCGTTGGCTCCATTCTCATTAGGTGACCAAACCATTTCATTCTTTGCTTCTCAATAAATTTAACGATGGGTATGGTTCCAATAGTTCTTGTAATCACATCGTTTCTCACTCGATCTCTTCTGGTTTTATTCGCAGCCATTCTCAAACATCTCATTTCACAGGTGGTTAGTCTTCTCTCGTGTTCTTTTGTTAATGTCCAGGTCTGACATTGATAACCTAATGTCGGTATAAAGATTGTATTTATAATTTGTCTTTTTATCTCAGCTGGGACAGCAAGATGTTTTAAAATTGGGGCAAGCTGGTATGCGACATTGTTGGCTTCTTGCTTCGATCTCTCTGTCTATTTTACCATTGGATGTAAAGATACTTCCCAAGTATTTAAATTCTTGCACTTGTTTTAGGCTGTGATCTAGAATCTTTATGTCGATGGTCTGTTGCTCTCTACTTATGCTCATGACTTCTGTCTTTTCAGTATTGATCTTCATATGATGCTTGAGGCAACTGTCGTGTTTGTATTATTTGTATTACCTGTATGAATTGCTTTGTCAATAGCCCACAGTTAGTCACTTCCAGTTGTGACAAGGCTTCTCACATGCTGATATGTTGCCATGTCTACAGGAAGCTATTCTTAAAAAGGATAGTAATATTCTGTTGGTTATGTGTGCGCTGTATAACAGGCCAGGATATAAATATATTAACTAACATATAGCATTAAGGGGGTTTCCCTCAGGACCCCAGTGGCTTTTTTAAAGCCAAGTTGAAGTCAAATTGTTCCCTAAGCCTCAGAGGTCACAGCAAGAGTCACCTATTATGTATTGGTTTTCTTTAGGCCCAGCAGAATGCATTCCACTTACTGCTTCACTCTGTTCCTGTTTATTGATCACCCCTTGATACACATCTATTTACATTTTAGAGGGGAACAATTTTTTTTTTAATGTAGCTGAATAAATTTAACAAATTGTTAACTCATTAGATACCTTTGTAATGTATTTTTTTGTACAGATTTTCCAGGAATTCCCATGGGTTCATGGCTCATTTTATTAAGCACTCACATTTGTGAAAGGGTTAAAGTGGCTCTTGCAAATAAATACATAGTCGACTAGCAACTAAAACTGTATCTACACTTCTGTGCAGAAGAGAAGTAAGAAGTACAAATAATTGAAACAAACAAGATATCTCAAATGTTCAGTTTAATCACCTAACAAAGTGAAGCAATGACAATCATCAGATAATCTGTGAGATAACAAACATACATAAGATCTCAGAATGAGTGGCTGGATAATCCAAACACTAAATACAGAACTGCTTCATAACACCACTGTGCTCAGTAACTTTACTGCTGCTATATGCTTCTTCCTCATGTTTCATCTAGCTGTCTATAACGTTATTTTGATGCCTCTACCAGGGCATACTGGCCACAAACTGATGACTACTTAAGACACAAAAACCACTGTTCTGTCAGTACACACTGAGATACACTACGCATGTCCTGAATCATCATTATCAGGTGCCTTGCTCACTGATGTGGACAATCATGTCTCTCCGCAACCTGCCATCTAGTTTAGGTGGGGTTTTTTTTCAAGGTCACTGCCAGCAAACCTCAAGGACAGTCCTTTTATTTTTCCCCCAGGTATTTTGAAAGCCCTGAAATAACAAGCTGCCCTGCAAGCAGCAATTTTCAAGGATCACTACTAGCCCTGCTAGCCACACAACTGATTTCCTAAAACATTATTATCAGATGCCTTGTTCACTGGCATGGGTGATCACGTCTCTCCCCAACCTGCAATCTCCAATAGCATTCGTCAGCTCACATGTAGACACCCCTCGTTGCAATGACAAAAGGCTCTCAAGAAACTTCACGTTGCCACCCCCCCCCCTCCCCCTTCCAGATCTTTCAGTGGTTATGTGTTTAGGTTAATCTTCTTTTAATAATGATGTATGACCCCAAAAAAAATGACTGTCTCTTTCTGATAACTCGTCTCTAGGCCCTTGCCACTTTCACAACATCTGGATCACTCTTCTGGCTGTCCAAGCAACTGTTAGCATTAAGACATTGTTCATCAGCTGCCCAGGATTCATAGCCATGTGTTAAGAATTCAGACCAAAAACGATGATCCTGTCAGTATAACTAGCAACAGGCAGATGCAGAAATGCAATGGCTATCACACTAACTTAGTAGACATAGATTTAAACTCTCACTGAAGATGATTTGTAATAATTTGTCAAAAATCCAGGTCAGGCAGCCTAACTGGGTATTAGAAAAAGTTGGGGAATTAAGGTGGCCAGCGTGTTATCACATCTCTCATCAAGGACCAACTGGCCTAACAACAACAAAACCTAGAACACTGCCCCATTTCATGCAGATAGGACCTTTGCTTAAGTCAAGTCGAGACAGGGTCTTTGCTTAAGTCAAGTCAAGACAGGGTCTTTGCTTAAGTCAAGTCAAGACAGGTTCTTTGCTCAAGTCAAGTCAAGACAGGACCTTTGCTTAAGTCAAGTCAAGACAGGACCTTTGCTTAAGTCAAGTCAAGACAGGACCTTTGCTTAAGTCAAGTCAAGACCTTTGCTTAAGTCAAGACAGGGTATTTGCTTAAGTCAAGTCAAGACAGGACCTTTGCTTAAGTCAAGTCAAGACAGGACCTTTGCTTAAGTCAAGTCAAGACCTTTGCTTAAGTCAAGACAGGGTATTTGCTTAAGTCAAGTCAAGACAGGACCTTTGCTTAAGTCAAGTCAGGTTCTTTGCTTAAGTCAAGACAGGGTATTTGCTTAAGTCAAGTCAAGACAGGACCTTTGCTTAAGTCAAGTCAGGTTCTTTGCTTAAGTCAAGTCAAGACAGGGTCTTTGCTTAAGTCAAGTCAAGACAGGGTCTTTGCTTAAGTCAAGTCAAGACATGGTATTTGCTTAAGTCAAGTCAGGTTCTTTGCTTAAGTCAAGTCAAGACAGGGTCTTTGCTTAAGTCAAGTCAAGACAGGGTCTTTGTTTAAGTCAAGTCAAGACAGGGTTTTTGTTTAAGTCAAGTCAAGTTAGGGCATTTGCTTAAGCCAAGTCAAGTCAATACAGGTCCTTTGCTTAAGCCAAGTCAAGTCAAGATGCCAAAAAAACAAAGCCAAGTTTACTGATAGCTTAGTTGTTTTGGAAGCGTCAGTTGTGTAGATCCCCCCCCCTCCCCCGTTGTTCAGATTCCTAGGGCCAATGTAGAAGGCTCACCATCACAACAAATTGACAGTTAATACATAAGATAACATGCAGGTGGCTGTAACACAGCCAGCAGTCTGGCAGCTCTAGCTTTCAACAACAGCATCAACAGATTTAATCACTGGCGCTTGATGTTGACTGAACAGCTCCCATCCGGGTGGGGTCCTGGGATGGATAGTGAACGGGAGCTGGGCCCCTAAGCTGGGGCTTAGGAGGTGGCGGCATACCTGGAGGTGGCCTCATGGGTAAAACACCAGGAGGTGGTGGGGGCATCCTGAGACCTGCAACAAGTAATAATGAAGATGTGAGATAACTGTCAAGTTAACGTGGTCACATTAAGTCCTGCTACACACAATTTAAGAGAACAAAAACAATAAGTATTGTATTTACGCATGTATAGGCTGCTTGCACGAAAGGGGCTGAACTCCATTTCTGAGAGGATGTCAAAAATAAATAATTTTCTTAGAATTTTGTCGAAAGACCAAAACTGAAACAGTAGTTAGTACCGTGTAGGAGCAAGTTACAGATATAAATGTAACTTACAAGTAGTTCAGTATGCACAAGAAAATGGAAACCAGGCAGCTAGAAGGAAGTTGGATATTGATAAGACCAAATATGTGAAGACTGATGGTCTTGAAAAAACATTCTAAAGTTTACAATGTTTCTGTTGCAAGAAGGTAAAATATCCTAAAGGAGAAACCAATCTCCTGGAATATGTCAAGAAAATATGGGCAGATGGGTTTTCGCTGTCTGTGAAAATGTTACAGTTCCAAGCACGTTATAGGAATTCCTTATAGTGAATTTAAAGTCATTAGAAATGACATCGTGATTTGGTGGCAGGTAACAATGGAGCCAATTACCAGTAGTGTTTTCATAAGCTATGTTTCAAAATATTGTATTGTTTATGAATACATTTTGTACAAGTGACATGCAGGCCTAATAACTGGAGTATAAGCCACATCATATGTTTCCTCAATGATTTTTAGTTAAATTACTGAGGCCTGTACAGTATTACCCCGCTTAACGTACACCTCTCATAACGAGTAATTCGCATAACGAGCAAAAACAAATTGGAATATCCAATATGCAGGCATAGCTCTGCTTTTCTGACCACAAAGGCAATATTCAAATGTACTGGTGTTACCTTTCCCCTGGAGTCAGCAAAGCAGGCCAAGAGAGGGATCATGCTGCATGGGACACACTTGGTCTCTACAATATGGCCCCAGATTTGTTCCACTGAGTGGACCTCCACCTCTGGCCTTAGCCAGGAGTGTGATGGACTGTGGTTCTCATACTTCCATACAGTGCTATGGAGCACTGTCAAGATGCTGACAAACAACAACATTAATGACAGGACAAGACAGTTCACACACCTGGAGGTGGTGGGGGTCTCAACATCCCACCTAGGAACATGGGATTTGGTCCTCTCATCATTGGTGGGAACCCCCTCGGAGGCTGGGGGATTCCTGGCGGGAGTCCAAACATCTGTGGAGGCCCCGGACTGGGGGCAGCTGGCAGGTTGAAGTAGTTGTTGGTCAACTCCTCCGGGGGCATGGGCAGTGCTGTTACAGAGAAGACAAAAGTAGTAACTTTAAAGTAATATAAAATATGTCTAACAGATAAGTATTTTTACTAATAAAAGTGTTCTGCTGTGACAGTACTTGGTGGTTTCCTTGGGACAATCACTGATGTCACATATACTGTTTCCTGGCTTCTCCTTACCTTCCATGTGCACCTCAGTCATATTTGGTTTTTTTCTTTGGCAGCAATTTTCTTGCATGCACATTTTATTTCCTTCATCAATCAACTCTGTTCAACCTACTAATAAGGTTTATCATGAAGGCGTTCGATTGGGTTTGTTCCTCGTAGCTTGTATGAGATAGTTTGGTTCAAAAACGTGCTGAGACATGACTCAATTGCAAAGACTATAGAAAGAAGAAACTGCAATGACAACATCAAGAAACAGACAGGACCCAATTATTATACACTTGTACAACAAGAGGAAGACAAAGAAAGTTGGCAAATTTTGCGTACTAGTGCTTCTATCGAAACACCTTCATGACCCTAGCAGGTCAAAGGTTATGTTATGTCTGTACGTGAATTTTTATAATCTTCCAATGCCTTGTATGTACATGACGTAATATCCAGTATATATGACATTACAGTGTGATGCTGATCATATCCCTCACTGAGTGCCGACCTGTATATAAGAAATACTGGTCTAGGACCATATATTACCAGGAGTGGGTGTGGTGTAGTGGCTAGAGGCTAGCCTCAGAGATCGCGGGTTAGAATCCACATCAAGCCGATTTGTTGTTAAAGATGACCTCGAGTCCCAAGTCCAGTGAAGTAAAGGCAACCGGAACGATGTCGACCACATCACACACACAGAGCGCCCACTGGTCTATAAAAGATAGGCCTAGCACTATCTGACACCGTGGAAAAGGGTCCTTTACTTTTAAATACATGCCCAGTCTGTCAAAGGCATGAAAATGGTCCAACAATCTGTCAAAGGTATGAAAATGGTCCAACAATCTGTCAAAGGCATGAAAATGGTCCAACAATCTGTCAAAGGCATGAAAATGGTCCTACAATCTGTCAAAGGCATGGAAATGGTCCTACAATCTGTCAAAGGCATGAATATGGTCCTTTGCTTTAACTATATACCCAATATGTCATAGGCATAAAAGTCCTTTACTTACTTTAACTTTTTCACATTAAACATTTGCAATAACAGAAGGACAATTAAACATCAATACTCTTCACACTGTCCACATTTCCAATATACATTTTTTCAACTCACCCTGGGGTAATCCTGGCACTGGTTCCAAAGCTGCAACTGGTCGGACATCCTCAGTCTTTCCTGCCGCCGCCAGCTGACCTTGAGACCTTCCCCATTTAACATTGAGCCTACGGCCATTCAAAATCAACTTGTTAAAGGACTTTTCTGCAGCAGCCTCGGCGCAGGCTCTGGTGGTAAACTGGACGAATGCACACTGTTGCTTGGATACGTTGATGGAGCGGATCTCTCCAAACTGGTAGAAGAAGTCTCTGAAATTCCCACATAAAATTCAATCATAAACAATAAGTTTATTAGAAAACCAAACTGTGATCATCCTTTTACTGATTAAAGAATCAATATCACAGAACATTTGTGCATTCACACAGACGTTCTATCTCTTTAAGCACATCTCTTAAGGTATAGATGCTGTAGCACAAATGTTAGCAAATGATACAAGTAATTATTTAAATCAGCTCACACATTTTAACTAACAACAACATTTATTGAAAAATACACTAACAAGTGATCATTTTTTTACCAAGCGGATAAAGTCTCTTCTTCTGCCTTTCTAGCCCCCAATGGAGCACAGGCCCTCAAACAGCTCATGCCAAATGGTTCTGTCCTTTGCTATCGCCTGCAGCTCTTCATGAGTTATTTTTGCCTTCCTTTATTCCTATGCCTTTGTGGTTCCAATGCAAAGACATTATAGTTATACTGTTCTCCGCATTTCTCAATGTGTGTCCTATTCAATAAGAATTACAACCCATACCAATGGTGAGTGTGACTAGGAAGATCTGCCCACACCAAACAAAGTTTTCCACAAATAAAACATGGGATTTCAGGACCGCTGTTGCTATTACGTGTAGAGAGTAAACATGTAACAAAACATACCTCAAATCTTTCTCTCCAACTTTATCCCCTAGGCCTCCCACATAGAGGGTTGTGACACTCTTGTCATCCGGAGCCTCAAGTTTGGGCATGCTGCTGTATCTGTTCATCAACTTGTGTGCCACAGGATCGTTCATGCCATAAAATCTGTCTTTGATGTTCTGATCTGCCAGTGGATCGTCAGGGTCTGTTGGTTTCTCGTGCCTGAAAATATCTTAGCTAGTTAAAACAACAACAAAACGTCCAGTGTTCACACATCTCTCTACAGCTTAGTTTGTAACCACTGAGCGTTCTCCATTGTTTAACTGTGTCATGCAGACTAACATGGCTTCTAGGTTTTCTGGAGCATGACAAATGTCCAGAGGTGGATGAACAACCAAAACTTTCTCCAGGAGTTTACAGCCAGTGAACTATAAGAAGAAGAAGGCAGGAGTTAGCTGTGATTACAGATACAATATGGTAGGGACCGTGAGAAAATAATAGTTTAATGAAAATATTACATCAAATATTCTCAACTATTTAAACACAAATATACTCAAAACAAAACCACAAAAATTAGTGTTTCTCATTGCCATAATTTTATGTAGACATTTTTACTTCTCTCTGTTAGAAAATGTGATTTATAAAGAAAGAAGAATCAACGTAGCTGAAATCATGAAAAGCATGTATTGCAACACAAACATGTCAACTAAATAAATGCAAAAAACACAAAGCAGCTTACAGATTAAATGTCAATCAAAACAATTAAAAAAACCTACCTATAAGGACACTCTTGACCTCTGCGGCATTCACCTTTGACCCAGAAAGAGCAAATATGTGGTCGATTTCTGGTATAATATGGTGTTGTCCTTGCTAGTTTCAGCAACATGTCACTGGGTGTTTGAGCCTTCCCCGCCAGAGCCCCGACTGGAGTGATACCATCGCTGTTTGCAATCTGGAGATAGACATTATCAAGTTTCAGTCTTAAACTGATATGCAGTTAACACAAAGCCTTAGGGAAATGTATGTCATATTAAATATAGCATTAAAAGGTTGAAAACAAATACCTGAAAAGACATGAACAAGAAGTAAAATATCATGTGATGAGATCAGACACGATGAAATCCATGGGAAGAATATTAGGATTGAAGCAGCTTTGGCGAAATGGTTTTGCCATATAGTGCAGATGCCAAAAAATGCAATGATGTAAAGACCAGGCGGGAAGTCAAGAAGAGGGTGATTATGCAAATTATGGACAGAGGAAATAACAGAATTCCTGAAAATCCCCATTTATGAAGCGCATAAACGGCCACTTTCTCGTAAATTATACCTCACCTCAACACAGCAAGGTACAAGAGGATCCAAAAGAAAGGTCCTTACCTCCCGTTCTATACTCTGTGTGTAGTATTCCTTGTTGACGTCAGACTTAGGCATGTTGTCCTGTATCTTCAGAGCAGCATCTCGAACCTGCACAGGCAGACCTGGATAACAGAAGTAAGCAACAAGTTTGCCGGGAGTCACTCGCAGGAGTATGTTAATAAAGTGAGGTCATTGATACTAATTCACTTGAAAATGTGTCAGTGAACAATGGCAGGCGAGAGTGGGTACTGATCGAGAGTGGGTACTGATCGAGAGTGGGTACTGATCAGCCAAACAAATCTTGCCAAGCAAGTGTTAAGCAGAGATTTTGTGGACACTGTCACATCACAAAATATGACCGTGAAATGTTTTTCATGGGCAAACAAACAATCTTGCTGAAAATGATGGAAAACATTTTGTGAGAGTAGTGTGCGAGTCCTGGTATGAGTGGTGAGTTGTTGACGTGACGAGCAGGAATTGCTGGAAGTAAAGGGAAGGAAGTGAACATGTTTCCACATTGCGGACACTAGTTAAGGTGATGGACAATGAGAACAGCCAAGTTGTACAAGAGTTAAGCATATGATGTACATGTAGCGCCGTTCAGCGGTACTAAGTTGCTTCATCCCGACCTCTGCGCTTCTGCAGGATGTCAATGTTTACTCCAGGGAGGAACCTGATCTGATGTGCTACTGCAGTGCACTCTGGAACCCTCATCAAAGCAAGTGTCACACCTTGGAGATAGTATACATTTTTTGTGGATGACTAGGTAGTCGCTGAAAACATTTACATGTTCAATTGACATCATTGGAAAATGCTGCCTCACTCATAAGTCTACTGTGTAATAAACTGAGTTGTTTGCAAGTACACAGGACCGCTTGAAGTATGCTGTATTTGGCTGTGTGACAGTACCACTGTGGACCTTGTGGTACCTGTGTATCCTGACTACTCATGTGCCTGTGTTACTTGTGTCAAAAATCATACCCGAGACTGATACAAGTCTACTCACCAAAGGGACTGAGCTGATGTCAGTAAAACATTGTTCCCACAAGTTAGAATCATGAGGGACAGCAGAAAGACCCTAAACAATATTATGTTTATGTCTTTAACATCAAATTTCTAGTCTTACAAAAACATGAGCAACATGTGTGTGAAGCCTCCGGCATATACACAATGGGATTCTCACCAGTGCTGCGGAAACCAAAGCTGTGGCTTCTTTATCGTCTCTGAGTTCACCATCGAAAGGGCAGTTGGCTTATTGTGATGTGGATTACAGCAAGGCTGCGGTATCTAAGACTTCTATTCTAACATATTCCATTTCAGTAAAATCTTAGTCCATACTGGTTGCCGACAAGCTTGTTAAGGGGCAGCGCATCTATTATTTTTTCATTCCAAAGTAGGTCAATAGAACACACACTAAGAATTTCTTTTCTGAATGGCTGATCCTGTCTGTAGTGAAAACATATTGTATAGTTTACTAAAACAGTGACAATGTAGAAGAAATAATACTACTATAGCAACCTTCTCCTTTAATTGAGAACAAAAGTGATTGAAGCTTGTTTGTGTGTTCTGCTTGCAGCATCAGTTACACCATGAGACAATAAACCGACCTCTGAATGCAAACTATGCTACCGCAGAGAAAACAGAGGAGTGGCACAAGCGTTTATGTGCTTGCGTCAATGATTGTATGCAATTGAGGATTGTGAAAACCATCATCCTGGCTGGTGATGCAGTACCTCACAAAACACAATGTAACTGCCCTGGAACATCATCCTGGCTGGTGAAGCAGTATCTCACAATACACAAAGTTACTGCCCTGGAACATCATCCTGGCTGGTGAAGCAGTACCTCACAAAACACAAAGTTACTACCCTGGAACATCATCCTGGCTGGTGAAGCAGTATCTCACAAAACACAAAGTATCTGCCCTGGAACATCATCCTGGCTGGTGAAGCAGTATCTCACAATACACAAAGTTACTGCCCTGGAACATCTTCCTGGCTGGTGAAGCAGTACCTCACAATAAACAATCTAAGTGCACTGGAACATCTTTTCACATTCTCCAGATCTGTTATTATCTTCATTTCTATTTTCATGTGCCCTAATCCAGGTTCTGGGGCCCCAATGTGGGGGCTAAAAGAATATACTCACAGCCCCATTACGAGCATGTTATAGGAGCAGAATAATTAATGGTGTTTCCTTCCAAATCGGAGTGCATCTGCCTGACAGGTGAGGAACCAACAGGCTGCATACAAATAAGCTAGATCTGCAAAAAGGATGTGCACAAAAAAGTCTGCCCCATTGCCATACAAGTTGTAAACACAGGTGGTGAAAACAGGTTTTTTTTCCCCAACACCAAACTGTAACTGTGACTCACCATACTCCAGATCCAGCAAGCATGTCTGGCAAACGTTCTTCATCTTGCTGCAGGTCTGGCAGACTTCTGTCTTCTTAAATCGCATACGGGCTCCTGGACACCATTTGAAGACTGTGAATGGCCGTGCACAGATTTTACATTCTTTGCCAAATTTTTCTTTCATCTGATGGACCATATAATAAGAATGTCTCAATGTATTACTACTTACAACAATATATTGCACAATTCACAGGCTGGCTTTTTTAGCTGTGCCTTATCATGTATATTACTACACAATTTACATCAAAAATAAAACTGTTGTTACAAGCATACAAATAAGCCATTGGAAAAAAAAAAAAATTCTTCTAAATGAAATAAACAAATCACATTGTCTGTTGTTACACTGTATGTCTCATTTTATCAAACCAACAGTAAGCATCCACAAGACCCCATCAGCAGACTCAAAAGAAAGCAACATACAACAATTGTCCATCTACGAACAGGACACTGCAGGCTCAACTACCACATGCATAAAATAAAGACAGCAGTCCCCACAGTGTGCCAGTCAAACAGGACCACAAACACCTGAGCTCATTCTGCAAACCTGCCCACTCTACCTACAACTTTGAAAAGACACCTAGCCTCAAGAGCAAATTGTGCAGAGCAAGCTATAGGGAACCATACAGGACCTGTAAATGTCATGCGAGTTTATAGAGGCAACCCACCTGATGGTCTGACTTGAGCATACGAAACTGAACACAAAAAAGAAGATATCTCATTATAGGAGTTTAAGATTAAGTATGTTACCTCATGTTATGTAAACACAAGGATATATGTTCTAATATTCTGAGAGTTATAATTTATGAGTTTCCCAACCTATTAATTTTAATATACAGTTGTCAATGATAGGCTAGGCTATAGCATTGAGACCAGATCTGTGATTGTAGAGAAACATTACCACCTACGCTTCCGGCAGTAATCCTATAGTAACATCACAAACAACCAATAAATGATGTGAATGGTTTGCAACATCCTGTAAAGGTTAGGCCAGTGTTTTCCAAACTTACTTAGTCGCAGCGCCTTTTTCCATAAAAAATGTTTCATGGTTCCCTAACCTAAGTAAAAGTATGATTATACGTATCTTAGAGATGAAAAACATTAAACTTGTGTATCTTCGAACATTCTGCGGCTCCTCAGGGCGCACAGTTTGGGAATCACTGGGTTAGGCAATTTTTTTTCTAATGACTCTTTTTAAGTCATTGTGATGTTTAATTCAGCAAAGGTATTTCAGTCTTCTCTGATGTTCTCATACTCTGGAATTCTTCTTCTACTACTACACCCACCTGAAAACATAAATGCCATGTGTTGGTCTGCAATATGGCTACGATATTTGCACTTTTCAGCAGATACATTCAACTCCTGGAGGCATTTGTTGCCCCAGTTTTCTGGGATATTGCAATCTTATTGGAATGTTGTTATTTTTGTGCCTCACACATGCATGCCCCCCCCCCCCCCTTCTTTCTCACTATCAGGCTGGTGCAGCAAGCCACATAATGCTGGTCACACTCAAGAGAAGACGGGCAGAACATGAGCATTCTCCGTGATCCAAGGAGGCTTCCATAAATGCACAGCCAATACATGGTACTGGGTTCACCCAAGGAATCATCATGTCCTGCTCATGACTGTTTACCCTCACTTCCATATACATCATCTTCATCAAACATCTGACATGATCATAAGTGCTCCAATCTCTTCCTAAGTAAATCTTCAAGTGTTTTTAGGCTAACAATCCCTATTCTGTTCTCGCTGATGAAGCGATGAGTGGCTCCTTTGTTTTCCTGTCCCGCATCTTCAACACCCTGGTACACCCTGGGTATGCAGTCTACTCAGTGAAAAATCATTTTCCAAGTAACTGAAAGCCTCAAAGGTCTAATCTCTCGTATGGCATGATGATGTCTCTTCTGTCCACAGATGGTTCATTCCTGATGGTCGCACTGTCAGCCAGGATGTCTGCTCTTTCATTGCCTTTCACACCAGCATTCCCTGGTACAAAAATAAAGGTGATTTTACAAAACATTGTGTGCTGTATCACATGGAGCTAATGTTTTTATATATCTCATTCATGAAGGGCTATGGCTTTAGAAGCCAGCAGAAGGCAGCCTGCAGACCCAGCATTTCAATGACCTACACAAAATGAGTACTTTGCTTCTTTTGCATGTTAAGACTTTTTACTGCAGTGGACCTTCCACGTCCACTGGTTTCATATGTCATTTTACACATAGATGCCAATGGGTAATCAGTGTGTCAGTACACTGAGAGATTTTCCCCTGACTATAGTTTCTGAACTTGTTTGCATCTTTAGGGACAACCAGATTCTCTAAGGGTTTTTTTCCTCACATACGCAGACGTCAATGTGAATATATTCAAAGACGTCAGCAGTCAACTGAGGTTGCTGGCAGCTTGACAGAGTTTGTGCTCAAAAAGAGCGATCTCTGGAATTGATTTCACTGTTACAGACAAGTAATGTAGTAATGATATACACCCGCAGATATAATAACAAAAATAATACATTACCATTCGGATGTATGGATTATCTCCAAGACACGTCTGGCACAAAATTGGGAACTCCTGAAACAGTCAAGATAAGACTGGCATTACTATTACTGTACTGTAAACAAAAGTACTGTCGGTACCTGTGGTTTAGGTACTGTGAGCGTACTTCATAATTCTTAAATACCCAGTTTGATTCCAACTGTGGGTGATCTGGCAGCAGACCACATTGCATTCATTCTGACAGTACTATCTAGAACCGACAATTAAGAAAGCAATGGTGACACGGAATCTAAACTCAAACTGCCTACCTACGCCTAGTAAAACCAGACAAACAAAATTACTATTACTGGTGTTGGCTGTTGCTTCTGCAATGTCTGTCTCCTGTAATGAATGTAACTAACCATTACATTATTTAGATGTTATAACTATATGATGGGGCTAGTTCTATAACTGTACAGACCAAACGACACTAGACAGGGAATGTCAGCACACATTTATTCCTGCAAGTGCTGTACTGAAGTGTACTGCTGTACATTTGGTCCCTGTGAAATTATTATAATACTAATAACTATAAGTATAACTTATATGTGTTATATAAGTATAAGTCTGTTGTCATTATTCTCCTGCTGTCTTAGTCAGAGTCCGTGTTTTAAATATGAGACCAAAATAAATAAATCTTATTATTACTGTGTCGGTTCTTCAACTCAATTCGGAAGATGGAAGGAAGGATGCCGAAAAAAAAAACTGTTTTTTTTACTTATCGAAAACAGGAAACTTTATGTACAGATAAAATAAAACTATATTATTTAGACATCTGTAAAATCTTAATAATTACAATATAAGAGAAGGAAAACAGCTAAACCAATTTGTAAACATATGAATGTTGTTGTTATTGCTTACCGCATCTTCCCAGTTCTGCCGATTATATGTGTTAGCTCCTTTCGAAGTCGCCATTTTCACATGACAATCTGCCAGGCGACATTGCCAGGAGTAAACATAAAACTGCAGGCGAAAAAAAAAATATGCGCCAAAAAGGTAAAGTCGAGAGATGTGAACCAGCGTCATTGCACACGGTTATAAACCATAAGTGCTATGCCACCTGTACAGACTGCCCGCCAATGTCGCCGTCCGCACGTAACTCCGTAGCTACAGCGACGTTCCTCCATTCACCCCAGAATTGTCAACTCTGGTACCCATTTCCTAGATGCAGGGTGAACCCCGGCAATCGCCCGGTTTCGAACACCGACCGTGGCTGCAGCGAATCGCAGCTGGATTTGAAAGTGAGCCTTAAAAAATGGTTTTTGAAACTATTGTCCCAGTGGCAAGAAACTAGCTGCTTTAATTGTAACTAATTTTGGCAATAGTAAAAAAATACCATCATCATCATGTACCCTGCCGACTGACGTAGGCGCTCATGTATCTCTATAGTGTGCGATCCCTGGTTGCCAGGAACAGCTTTTATGATGATATACCTCTATGCCCATCCAGCATCATCTCTCTTGGTCTGCCTCTACACCTCTTTCCACTGATCTTTCCGGTTGTCATCATGTTTTCAGTGCCTCTCTTCTCATTACGTGGCAAAAGAACAAGGTTTGCCTCCTTCTTATTGTTGTATATAGAGATCTACTTTCATTAGCTTTTTCAAACAGTCGTTGTTAGTTACTCTGGTGTCTAAGGTATTCGTAACATTCGTCGGCTATCCTCCGTGTCAATTGCGCACTAGCAGTCACGAGCACACTGCGGCTGCTGCTCGTGGGTCCTAGCCATCTAGTTTAGCCCCATTCCACGCCGCGTGAGCGGCGTGGGAGACATGTAGCGGTGGCAATAGACGCCGGAGAACGACAAATTAAGTCACGCGACTGTGGCTCGAAAGGATATTTTGCGGCCGCCATCTTTGCCGACCGTTAGTCGGAGGATAGCCCATTCGTCTCAGAAACCACATCTCTGTTGCTTCCAAAATGTTTTTAATTTATTCTCCGACATTCCAAGATTCGCTGCAAAAAAGCAGAAGAGGTTTTATGTGACATTTAACACTCTCTTTCTGTCATTAAATGAGAGCAACTTGTTGCATAAGACATTTTTTTTTCATTTTCTGAAATACTGCCTTCCCATAACCTGTTCTGCTTTTAATCTCTGTTACACATTTTCCGTCTGATGATATAGCTGTTCCCAGATATTTAAATTTAATAACATGTTAAGTCTTGTTCCTTCAACTGAGATTTCACAGTGTGGTGTTATCTTCTTCTTTGATGTGACACTGTAATCAAACCACACTGATTGGTAAGCGAGCAAGAGACGGACAGCGAACGAACGAAAGAACAAACTTTATTTTCAAAGGGTTACAAATTGGGCACGCAGGCCCGTCTAACATTCGGCCCTTCTAAGCACTCATTTTTTCTTTACAGCGATACAAGTGAGCGGATTTATTGACCAACAGCAGTCTGAGATGGCAGGATGTAGATCCAGAACGAATGAAACTATTTTTTTCGAAATTCATTGCAGCCATCCTTCATTGCGGAGACGATACCTGATTGGCTGGTGGGGATATTTGTACCAAGATCGGCTCCAGCTTTAAATGAGTTCTCGATTTGTACTAATAGAAGTAGACGCAAGACAAAGATATCAAGATGA